AATCAAATTTAAGATTTTGCCTTCGGTTTATTTGCCATTAATCCATACACTTCGTACTTCGTACTACGTTCCTGGTACTGTTGCCTATTATATGTAAAATTTTGTTCCCAACATTTTTAATTAGTGCATCAAGATCGATTTAAATTCTAGTTTTTGAGTATTTTCGCTTTTTCTTTCGCACGTGTTCGGAATTCATGTCGGGCTGATCCGGAACGATCAAAATTTGAACTCACTGATTGGCTATTTCCTTTTTAGGAGTTTGTATTACTGGCACAAATAAGTAAAGCCAACATGCATCACTTATAAACAAATAGTAAAAATCGTAAAAAAATTGGCTAACTTCGTGGTCAAGATTCTTTTGGGGTTTATTTTTAATTACCCTTGAAATTTCATGGGAAGAACCTTGAAATGCTTAAGAATTTGCAAAATGATTCCTAGAAATTAAACCGACAACTTCTTTATTGTTGAAAGCAAATTTTGCTCATTTGATACCATTAAAAATTTTACACAAATGATCTGCGTGACATCTAAACCGACTGTTACTAATTTCCCCACCACTTCTGATTGGTTTTACTAATTATTCACATATTGGAGTATCTGTGTTATTAATCAATTTTATAGTTCTCCGATAGTGAAGTGGTGGGGATAATTAGGGCACTCTAACTTGTCGTATGCCGTAAAATTCATTGCCTGCATCACTATTTGGAACAAATGACCAGGTCATTTACCATCCCCGTAGCATGTGACTATCACTCAACATTCGTGTAACCAGTTTTATATGCATACCGAAAATGTGTACAAGGTTGTCGGTGCAGACAAAATTCTTAAATTCGTTAGCGTTAGGGCTAGGGTCAAGGTTAGGATCCAGAGAGAAGTAGTTTATATAGTAAAATTGTCCAACGAAAACTTTTTGTTAGAGAACAAAAGGAGGTTTCTTATGCTGATTTTTGAGCTATGGACAATTTTTGGCTGAACGAACGTTTGTTTTGAATCTCCAGATCGTGTTACGTTACACATAATCTTGAAATCTGATTCGTAGTTCAGGAGAGCTGCGTTCTTACTGTAGCTAAAACCTAGCCCGAACCGTACCGTGCGAAACACTAATCAGCATGAATATTAAAGCGACCCAAATGGGTTGATATTAACGAGGGTCAAGTGTATACATAATATTGCTAAAATGGCCGAGACCATGTAGACTTGGCAAATAAAGTTACTGTAACTATAATCAATTTTTTAGACAATTTTCATAATTAAGTTAGAGTTGGGCAAGGTAAATTTACTTATTACGTAAAAGTTAAACCACACTATGCGACAATTTGGTTATTATATATACTTACAACTAATAATATAATAAATTGTCGCATAGCGTGATTTAGCTTTTGCGTAAAGGTAAATTAGATAAAACTCCGATTAAAACGAAATTGATATATATTTTGACAGGGGTGCCCTAATTTCCTCCACCACTTCATTATCGGAGAACTATAAAATTGATTATTAATACAATATGTGAATAATTAGTAGAACCAATCAGAAGTGGTGGAGGAAATTAGTAAATTCGTTTGACAGTGCCCTACAAATGACGTCAGAAATTTTTTATAAATTTCTCTCTTCTAATTCCATTAAATTATTTCTCTTTTATTTAACAGATGGAGCATTCAAATACTATCTTAGTTGAACATACAAACTTCATTGATGTTTTTAGTTTTTTATTTATTTTATTTTATATTTCTTTATTTTTTTATTTATTGTTTTATTTTGTTTTTGATTATGAAATTTTTGAATGTATAATTTGTATAGAAAAAAAATCTATAAAGTGGTTTCCAAAAATTACAAAAAATTGTAGACATAATTCAGAAATATGTATTGAATGCATTAATTTACATATTGAACATAATTTAAATAACGTTTTAGAAATTAAATGCCCTTTTTATGAATGTGAAGAAACTTTAGAATATCAAGAAGTTAAAGAACTAGCAAATGAAAAATTATATAAAAGGTTTATGCGTAAACTTTATATAAGCTTATATGAAATATTTATTTGATTAATCAATTAATTAGTTATCTATTTACTATAGATATGATCAATTATCTTTGCGCAAAGCACTCCAAAGCATGCCAGATATCAGATTTTGTTTAAATCCTAAATGTGATTCCGCGCAAGTTCACAATGGAAATCGTAAGTCTTAATCATTCATAGTCTCATCTTCAATATTTTATAATAATAATAATTTTTTATGTATTTATTATTAATTGTTTTCTAAAAGATAGCTTACCAATAATGACATGTCTGAAGTGTGGTTCAAAATCGTGCTTTACTCATGATGTACCATGGCATGAAGGTTTGACCTGTCCTGAATACGATCGAATGAAAAGAGAACAAGAAGCTGCTACAAATAGTTATTTATCAAAAAAAACAAAACCCTGCCCGAAATGTGGTGTTCATATAATAAAGAATGGTGGATGTGACCATATGACTTGTAAATTGCCAGGATGTAAATATGAATTTTGTTGGATGTAAGTAAAAAAGTTATCTTTACTGTACAATTAATTCAACCAACAATCAATTAATCAACTTATCAATTTTTTTAATTAATAGATGTTTAGCTGATCATAATGGAATTCGTAGTGATGGAAATCATAGACATAATCCCACTTGCAGACATTATAGGGCTCCTCCTCAATCTCTTCGACCTCTTCAACCTCCTCAACTTCATCAACCTCCTCAGTCTTCTCAACCTCCTCAATCTTCTCAATCTCTTCAAGTTCCTCGATCTCCTCAACCTCCTCAATCTTCTCAACTTCCTCAACCTCCTCAACCTCTTCAACTTACGCAATCTCCTCAATCTTCTCAACCTCCTCAAGCTTCTCAACCTCAACGTCCTCAATCTTCTCAACCTGCTCAACCTTCTCAATCTCCTCAATCTTTTCAACCTTCTCAAGATCCTCAGAGTTCTCAATCTTCTCAATCTGCTCAACCTTTCAATCTCCTCAATTTTCTCAACCTTCTCAAGCTTCTCAATGTTCTCAATCTTCTCAACCTGCTAAACCTTCTCAATCTCCTCAATCTTCTCAAGCTCTTCAAAGTCCTCAATCTTCTCAACCTGCTCAGCCTTCTCTATCTCCTCAAGCCCTTCAAGGTTATCAATCTTCTCAACCTGCTTAATCTCCTCAATCTTCTCAACCTCCTCAACCTCAATCTCCTCAATCTACTCAGCCTCAACCTTTTCGACCTCCTCAGCCTCCTCAAGCTCAACATTCTCAACTTTCACAATCTTTTCAACTTTCTTCTCTTCCTTAGAACTTCTTACAAATTCAAGTGCGAAATCCACAAACTCATGGCAAGTATAATAAATTAATTATAAATTTTTTCTTATAATAACATTATGGCTATTTTTTTCAAGGACATAGTCTTAAAATGTTTACGGATTACGAGATTATTTGTCAGGTATAAAATGAAATTTTATTCTCATACACAGTCCTGTTTATTATAGATATATAAAGTAATCTGTAGATTTGTTTTCTATTTAATTTTAGACGAATATTCCATCTTTCAGACTAAAAAAATAATCAGTTAAAAGAAGTCCTTATAAAAAACTTAAAAGTAAATCACCTGAAGCAAATTTTCTCCTTTAACTGGAAAAGTGTTTATGAATCGTTTTTCGGAAAATGTCATTGAAGTTCGTAAAGACGGGTTTGAAGATTTTTTACTAATGTATGTTTATTAAAAAAATTTTTTATATTTAATGATTATGAAGCACAAATAATTTGTATTTAGAATAGTTTTATAATAATTATTTATTTGTTTTAATGTTGCCAAACCTTCCTTTTTACCAAGTAAAGACAAATCTTAACAGCTTTTATCCAAGATTCAAATTTTTATTGCAAAAATTATTCTAGTTGTCCGAAGGACTAAGCAGGGACCTTAACAGCTTTTATCCAAGATTCAAATTTTGATTGTAAAATCTTATAAATACTGTTAAAATGATAGTTGTCCGAAGGACTAAGCATGGATGATGATTATTTCATTGGTTGATTAGCAAAAATTTGGTTGGCTAAAATCCAAGATCAAATACACGTTCTTGAACTATTTTAATAAAGTAAAACTGATCGACATTTCAATCATCCTTGTCCAAACCTTTTTTTAAAAGAAGTGTTGTTCTTATTAGTTATTTATAAAAAGTTTTTGTAACAATATGTTTTCAGTAAATAATTAGTCAAAATAAACTTCAACCCTAATGTAAATCACAAGTTTAAATAATCAAACGTTTTCGAATTAGTTACAACATTCAAGTATACTTCTGGTTCTACAGATCTATAGAATTTGATATCTCTCTTCAGTAACTACATATAATCAGGTGATTCCCGGAATATCTCTACGATTTAAAAAATTTTAAGCTATTATATTATAATTGTATGAAGATATCTCAAGGATAACCGAACATTTGTAATATTTTTGTACCACTTTAAATTCTATAGATTGTAGAAGTAAAAAATATGTTTTAATATCAAATTTTT